CCCAGCTCCCTCCCACCTCCTCCAAACAAGGCCTTCTCACTGCTCCCTCCTGACTCTGACTCAGCTGCGAATCCAAACCCCAAACTTCCAAAGCGGCAGAGATGAGGCAGGAAGCAGCTGGGTGAGGGGCCTGGGGCCAGATCCCGGGCCTTTGGTTTTTGTCTTCCAGGCCCCCTCATCTCAGCCTGGGGTTGCTGTCACAACCGCAGGAGGGCGCTGGGGTCACACGCATTGGCTAAGTGCCCAAGGGCACCATGCAAAGCAATTTTCCTTCCCCCTCTCCTTTTCCTTTCTTATTGATTTAACGGAGGAACAGAGAGAGAGAGAGAGAGAGAGAGAGAGAGAGAGACATCAGTGATGAGAGAGAATCATGGATTGGCTGCCTCCTGCATGCCCCCTACTGGAGATCCAGCCTGAAATCCCGGGCATGTGCCCTTGACCCAAATCGATCCCAGGACCCTTCAGTCCACAGGCCAACGCTCTATCCACTGAGCCACACCAGCCAGGGCCAGACTCATTTTCTAAGAGGACACTGGGGCTGAGAGACTTAGAGGATGAAGCCAAATTCAAATCCAGACTCTCCATTGACGTGGGGGCTTGGATTAAAACAAAACAAACGAAGCAGCCGCCAAAGAGAACACAGGCAGGCGGCGTCAGAAGAACCCGAGTTGTCGCAGGAAGATACTTGCGAGGGGTGAGGTGACTTCCCACACGGAAAACCCTCCAGACCTGCATTTAACAGACAGAAAGATCACGTGAAAACACTCGCAGACGGGCGCGGGAAGTAGATACTAACGCTTCTGCTTTTGTTCTATACGTGCGAGAAACGCCAGATGCCCCGTTTATCTAGACAGGTCCTGATAAAGTGAGCTTTTCTCAACACTTACGGCTTTGGAGCAGCTGATCCTGAGCCAGGGGTAGGGGGGGAGGGGGGACGCGGGGGACGGGCCGGGCGATCCAGCTGCTGGCAGTTGTGTTATCATCTCAAGCAACTCACACTACCTGGGCCTCAGGCTGTTTGTTTCTGAAATTGTGAAGTTAAAATAGAACAACAGCAAAAGAAGAGCAAAGCTGGAGTAATCATACTCCCTCAGCTCCGATTGGCCCTTCTCTCCTGGGGCCTCTCTAACATGCCAGCCCTGCCCCTTCCGCCCCAGGGCCCATCTCCTGGTTACTGGACACCCCAGATCCCAGGCCCCCCAAGACAGGAGCGGAAGCCCAGGACCCAGCCTGGGAGGGTCCCCTTCGGTCTAATTGCTGGGCCTTGCTGCCCTCTGGTGGTCAGAAGTGGAATGACCACCGTTGAAAAAATGTGACCGTCTGGGAACTGGCTCTGATGGGGCTGAGGGTGGGACAGAGGGGCAGGGAGCGTCTTTTCTAATTGACACCCGAGGAGTTCCATTCAAGACCGACCTGCACCCTGGGAAGCGGGGTGGGGCCGATGCCAGCAGAGGGAAAGTCCTCAGTGAGGGCGGGAAAGGGAGAGAGAGAGAGCGGAAGAACGAGGGGGCTGCAGGGAGGCCGGCCCAGATGGCACGGGAGAGGTGATACAGGACAGGCCCTTGCAGACCGCGGCGAGGAGCTGGCTGTGATCGGGAGGTGGGGTGGGAGGGTGTCCACACCCCATCGCTCAGGATTCCTCCCAGCGATGCTCCCACGAAGGCGAAAGGGCCGCGGTGGCCGGTTACAGGGGAGGCTGCCGGAGCCTGGCGGGAGCGGAGAGGCGAAGTGGCTGGTTTCTAACTGGATTTGGGAGGTAGAATCTGCCCTGTTTGCTGAGGGTGCGGAGACAAAAATGCAAACGTACAATGGCCAGTGCACACATCGGGGCAGAACCTACCACCCACAGCGACCAGCCGCAGGCCAGGCCACCCCGCCATCAGCCCCGAGGTCGGGCCTTGAGCAAGCTGGCAGCCTTCCTGTTGTCCTGCGCCCCGAGGACCAGCGGAGAAGCCAGGCATGCTCCCTCCCCGTCCTCTCCTCGCGGGGACATCCTGCTTCTAGTCAACCCCCCTCCGGCTCCCAGGCCGCGCCTCCCAGCAGGCCCACGGGAGGCCCTCTCCCCTGCTAGAAGCTTCCCCTGCCGCCGCCCGAGTCGCTCCCACCCCTGAGCCCCCTGGCGGCGGGGCAAGGCCTTCTGAGGAGGGAGGTGCTTTAGCCAACAGCCAGGGGAATGGTGGCCGGGCTCTGGGCTGGGGCTTTGGGGAAACTCCAAGCCCGTTGCACCCCGTCCAGTGGCTGCCGGCTGCCGGCTCAGGCATCACAGGAGCGAGGCCCCGGGTTCCAAGGCTCACAGGGACCTGACAGGAAGCCATGGGGTTCGGGCAATCACAGTGCCGCCAGCTCAGCGTGTTTATCGGGACGTGGCTGTTTCACTCGGGAAAGACTTCTCAGGCGGTTGCAAGCCTTTAGTTACTGTCCAGAGTTCTAGAAAAGCCGATGGGGGTCACTTTTGTCAGTGTTCTCTTTCGCCTGATGGTAGGAGAGCCAGACGGGAGGCCTGTGCAGCCGCAGCAAAGAACATGCACCCCCAGGTGGCGGGACCGTCGGGCCTGACAGGGAGGAACGCTTTCAGAGGCCTTGCCCGTGTCCTAGAGGTGCTCCCTCCCGCCGTCCGTCTTCCCGCAGCCTCATGCCGTCAGCTGCTTTAACCCTTGTTCTCACTGAGGAAACTGGCGCTCAGAGAGGTTGGGTGACTTACCTGAGGACACACACGTTGGGAGAACCTGAGCCAGGCTGTGGGCGGCAGCGTGCCCTCTGGGTCCAGCGTGGCCTGTCCTGGCCTCTCCCACGCCTCCCGCGGGCACGTGCACTCCACCCCCTGCACGCCAGCCCTCAGCCCTCCCCGTGGCCTGGCGTTTAGGTAGGAACCCCCTGGGAGCGGCTCTCCTCTCGGAATGGTGCACAGGAGAGGGCCCCTGCCAGGGCTGGCTCTGCTCTAACGGCAGGAGGAGGAAGGGACCGCCTCTCCCTGGGGTGGGCACCAGGCCAGGCACCTGGGGGATGCTGAAGCGATGACAGAGGCTCCTGAGCGTTCTTCCGCCCTCCACGCCCTCCACGCCGTCAGGAACTGAGCTCAGCCGACCTCAAGGTGAGCCGGAGGCAAGAGTCATTAGTGAATCACACACGCAGGTCAAGCTCTCTGGCACAAACCCAGCGTACTCTCCAGCAACACTTGTCTGTGGTTCCCAATAAAACCCAGGGAATAAAGCAATAAAACAAAAACTGACGAGTGGGCAGCAGCCCTCCGGTCCAGCCCATTCCGACCGCCCAGGGTAGAGGCCCGGGCTCAGTTCTTCAGGCGCCAAGTTCCCATTATTCTAGGCAACAAGGACACGGAGTGAAATGGGAAGGACGTGCTGTGGTCTATGGAAGGTGATAAGTGCCACATGGAAACACAAAGCGGGGAGGGGGTAGGGGGTGTGAGAAAGTGTGGAGGTTGCCATTTTTAATAGGGTGTCCGGGCGTCTGCGCCAATTCTCTTCTAACCAAGGAATTGACATGACGGCGGAGGAAGTTTGGCAATGGGCTCACGCCTTTGGAATTCACCTGGTCATGCACCCTATTACTCAGATGGATGGTAGAATGACCTACCAAAGACTCAGTCATGGCACCAGCGAACACACCACACCATGTGAGGTGGGGGTATCATTCTACAGTAGACAGCACGTGCCTGCGACCTAGGGATGGTAGTGTTTCCTTGCATATTAGACCTAATGATCCACTTAAGATATTTGTTTTCATCTACATAACTGTAGGTTTACTGAATTTCGAGATTCTAGTAGCCAAAGGATCCCCTATTCCTCCAAGGAACAGAGTCATACGTCTGGTAAATTGAAACTGGTAAGTCTACCCCAGAGCTATTGTGGGGTCTTCATTTGTTGAAGGCAGAGAGAAGGGGTTACTAACATAGATGGAATAATAGATCCTGATGAACAAGAAAAAAAGTTGAGTGGCTTTTCAAAATGAAGTCAGGGAATGTGTCTAACAGCCGTGGGCAAACTACGGCCCGCGGGCCGGATGCGGCCCATTTGAAATGAATAAAACTAAAAAAAAAAAAAGACCGTACCCTTTTATGTAATGATGTTTACTTTGAATTTATATTAGTTCACACAAACACTCCATCCATGCTTTTGTTCCGGCCCTCCGGTCCAGTTTAAGAACCCATTGTGGCCCTTGAGTCAAAAAGTTTGCCCACCCCTGGTCTAGAATCATGGGGTTTCCTTGGTCACCTCTTTATGTGCCTTTACTCAGTAATAACAGTCCACAGAACACTGTGCCAACTGAGGACGACAGAACCACCAAGACGCGGCTCCCGCCCTGTGTCTTGACTTTGGTGGTTAGCTATGTGGGCACTTCCATGTGTGTATTCATACATTTACATATGACTGCACGTGTCTGTCTGATGCACAGTCCCTGCCAGGCCCTTAAGTCCAGGTCCGGTGACCTCATTATATGCTCTTACTGTACCCTGCTTTGTCATTGTGGTGAAGTCTCCCCTGCCATGCTCTCTGCGGGAAAGACAGAGGCCTGTTTAGTTAGCCTGGATGGTGCTTGCTAAATGTTATGAACGAATGAATAAATGTAGGGTGGGAGCCTCGCTTAGGGACCCAGAAAGCATGCGCCTTGGAAAAATGGGGCTTACATTCTCAGGCCCAGCACTTGGCAACGGGTTGTTTCTGAGCCTCAGTTTTCAAATCTATAAAATGGGAACGCAATAGTCTCTACACTGGGTTGCTATTACATCAAGTACGATGATGCACATAAATATTAAACACGATGACGGACACATGGCGGGCCTGTTAATATTCATAAAATGAGGGGGGTGTACCTAGCGCTCGCTCTTCCCCAAGCGCATGCGCGGCGCTCGAGGAACGCCCCGCCCAGCGCGCCCCCGTGCGTCCCCACGCTTGCGCGTGTTTGACCGGAACTTTAACCCGGGCCAGAGGTGAGGGGGCGGGACCTGCGCAGCACGCCTGCGCCGTGAGAGGCCCGTGCGCCGAAGGGGCGGACCGCGCACGCGCGCAGAGCGCCCCGGCTCCGGGAGCATAAACAAGAGCGGGGAGGGATGAGGCGGCGATTGATCCCGGGGCGGGCGAACGGCGGCGACTCCGGCGGCGAGCGGGGCCCGGCGCCGACCCTGAGTGCACGCGACCCCGTCCCGCGCGCGAGCCTCCGGCCGGGACCACCCGCCCGCCGCGCGCCCACCATGAACCTGGCCAGTCAGAGCGGCGAGGCTGGCGCCGACCAGCTGCTCTTCGCCAACTTCAACCAGGACGTCACGTAAGGCCGGGCCGGGCCGGGGTCGGAGGGGCCGGGCCGGGGTCGGAGGGCCGGACCGGGAGCCCGGGCGGGTCCCTGGGGTGGGCCTGGGGCGGGCGGGGGGCGCCCTCCTCGGGACCCTCGGGGCACCCCCCTTTCCGGGCGGGGAGAGCGACGGAGTGACGGAGGTGTTCACCCACCGTCTGGCAGGCTTTCTCCTTCCGGACCTCCATTTCTCTCCTAGTTGGGCCGAAACTTTGTGGCCTGACCTGTTGTCTCGCCGCCCTCGCCCGGTGGGAGCGGGTTCCCTCTCGTGCCCCGCAGCCCCGCTCTCGCCCGTTTTCCCCTTCAGGCCCTTGTAGCCTCTTCGTCATCCTAGTCCCTTCCCCTCTTTTCTCTCTTCTTTCACGTTCTCGATGTTCTTTTTGTCAGGTAAATTGTGATGTCCTCTCCGGTCAAAGAGATAAACTTATCCATAATCCTGGTCTCCGACCCGGTAGACACTGAGCCCTGGGGTGACAGGAATACTTTGTGAGCCTGGCTCTTTCTGTAACAGGGCCGTGCCTTTCCGTGACAAGGGTATAAGATTCTACAATGTCTAGACCCTGCGAGATTTTGTGAGGTTAGTTGCCGTGTAGGCTTGCGAATAAGAATATTTACTTTTTCACTCTCATATTAGAACCATTCTTGTTAGTATTTAAAAAGAAGTAATGTCAGAGGGCAAAGTGTT